ATACTGAATTCCATTGCTCATGTTCCTCAATGATAATACCATTCTCATAATGTTCAAATACCTGTCTGTCAATTTTCGTATCCAATTTGTGTGCCAATTGAATGAATTCTTGCAAATTCAATTGTTTATTGCTCTGGGGTGACGTTTCTGGTATTGTCTGCTGAATATCCAACTTGCTGAGTACTTTTGCTTTGTCTGGTGCCTCGAGTCAATGTATGGTACTCCTAGTAGACTCGCCCTCCGTTTGGAGGTCCAATTCTATGCCTTTGCAAATTGTTCTAGCCTTTCTACTATGTGGATGTACTACTATTGTGTCTTCTAGCAATGTTTTCCAAAGGGAACTGGTCCTATGCTCGATATATGTACTGTATTTTCTTTCTAAAAGCTGAGATATGCTAGTCTGTGTCTGATATAACCTTTCTGGGTCATTGTTGCTATATTTCGAAGCATAATTCTCTATGTATCGAGTTGTCTTTTGCATAATTCCTAAGTCCTTGTATGCTAACACGTCTACTGTAGCCTCAATATCCTGTAGATTGTATCTCTCAATGTTCTCGAATGCCATGACAATTCTTAGAAAACTAGTCTGTCTTTCGATGAGTACTGAATATCCTGATACGTATTCTGATACTTTGGTATTGATTTTCCAAACGAAATGCGTCTCCTGAGGTTCATTGTATACTGAATGCCTAGTAAATCCAATATCTAATGATAGAAACGAATATTCCTTGGTTTCCTTGCTTTGCTCTGTGAGATTGCTGACTGTTCTTAGTCCTATAGGGTCTTCTATGATCTTTCTGAGCTTCTGAAGCAGTAGCATGGTCATTGCTTTCAATTCTGTAGTGATACTGAATCTTCTGGTGCAGATATGATACTTTCTCTTGAATTGCAATCGTTTTTGCCAAGTATCCTAGTGTATTTCTCTGCAAAACTGACATTCTTTGTCCTTATTACTGAGCAATTTCATCTGTTTGATGACTCTGAGAGGTAGTTGTGGCATGTCCACTATTTCCTGATACAATTCTGTATTGCAATTGTCAATTACCTGTGCAAGTTCCTTAGTTTCTCGATCGAAACTGTTGATATCCTCAATGTATGCCTCTGAGACTTGTTCTCCTGTCTTTGATAGACGTATTGCACTGTTAATCCATAGTATAGACGTATCAAATCCTGTAGAAATGTTGCACTGAATAAGAATCGCTGTTCCTAGTATGATATTACAGTTATCCAACTGCCTGATATCAAAGTGCTGTATCAATTTCCTTGAGCTGTATTTCATTCTTGCAATGGTACAGTAGTTTATCCTTGATCCTGACCTGTGTACTCTCGATTGAGTAAGTAGTGTTTTGCCTAGAATGACTTTTCTAACGCTAATTCGGTCTGCAACTCTGGTGTGTGTGAAATCTACTAGTACTGAAGTATTCATTGTCACTGTCATGATTTTGTTGCTAATTCCAACTGTAGATCCTGTGGAATTTATCACAAATACCTTATGATCCTTTGTATACACTGTATAATGTTCAACTGTGTCAAAATTGCTGAAATATGTGGCTATTAGGTGCATATATGTGTGATATACTGATCTGTATGAGTAGTTGCACACACAGCTGTATGCATCATCACATGATGGGTGTTTCTTATTGACTGAAAGCTCATGTATGCACTCAAACAATTCAGAATCGAAATTGTTCTCTGGTGCTAAGGTTCTCCAATCATCAGTTATGTCCATGGATGAATATGACGTGTTCCTGAATGAAATATACTGTTGTACTGTGTCAATATACTGTAAAAATGCACTCTTGTCCTCAAATGAGTACTCATTTGCTTGCTCACAATAGCGTTTACTCATTAAATGTGTCTCTGAGTGCCTAGGTATATAGAATATATCATGCCAATGTTGACTCCTGAGTGTCTTGTCACATTTCCAATCCGGAAGATATAATATTCCTTTCTCAAAGCATCTCTGTGTGCCAAAACATACTGTTTCTTTGTTGTTACAGTGGAAACATCTGTTCCTGTGTCTGTATCTTCGTATCAAATGCTCTTTTACTCTTGCTAGAGTATATACGAATAGAATCTGTACTTCTATGTAGTCTGAGTGTAATGACAGTCTCAAATCATGCTTTCCTATGCCTGATACCTGTTGTAGAGCGTCGAATTCTTTGCTAAACATGTATAAGTCTTCCTCTGGAGTTCTCAATTCATACTCACTGTCTGTAGAGCATGCCTGCTGTACCAGTGGATCTATTCGAAATATAGAAAATGGCAGAATGTTTGTATAACTGTTCATACTCGAATTCCAATAGCTTCCATTTCCTAGCATTCTTGTACTCCTTCCTAGTGTAGTGTAATCGATTTCCAAGTTCTCTGAAGGTAATCCAGCTTCTGAGATATACTGAGCTCTTTCTGTACTATGTGTACAACCATTTGTGACATAATACGAGTCTTGCTTTCGATTGAAACATTGTACTTTCTCTAGTACATAGCCTGATTCTTCTTGTATACACCTTCGAATGCCTGTGAGACCAATTCCTGTATTCTTGTCATGTGTATGCCTATTGTAGTCTGTACAATTCAATTTGAAGTCTTCTGGTTCGCTGCTCACTCTGAGTCTTATGCTGTAAGACTGTATGTGCTGCCTGATATGATTATAGTTGCTATAACCATTCTTTTTGTCCTTAGATCGAATCTTATGCCTATTCCTGTAGTTTCTATGTGCATTTCTTCGCTGTAGGTCTTCCTGAAGGTCTTCTCCATAGTACTTAGAGTAAAATATATGCCTGGTATTTGCATATCTTGAAATTTCAAGTTCTTTGCTTGTTTTCTCAGTATTTTTGAGCCTAACAATGAAATTTCTGCCTGAAACTGTGTGCAGATTCCAATAAAGCAATAGTGAATGTTGTTTGTACTTGGAATGTAGTCTATTCCATGCCTGACTGGTCATTTCCCTTGTAGAAACATGTCTTGAGAGTGTATCTTGCTCCTCTGGATGGCATTTGTGTTCTTGCATGCTTCTGGGTCCTCTCTGCATGTAGAACTCTTCTGGTACTGTTCCTAATATCTTGCTGATGAAATAATCGTCATCTAATCCGTTCAAAGATAGCAAAGGTGTCTGCCTAGCATCATTCATACTGTTTCTCTGTAAATAATGGTCTGTAACACTTTCTTTGCTGAAACTGTATGCCATTCTTGCTTGCACTTAAGAAATGCATTGTAAAACCGTTTGTTTCACATATTGACCGACTTCTGAAATGTATTTGCTGTATTTCCAAAGACTGGTTTCTCTGAGATCTTTTGTGGAAACGATGTGCATTGTGCATTACATCTGTATGTCTGCTTTAAGGAATTCTCTGTTTCCTTTCCTGCTCTTAGGACGCTTGAGCCTCTTAGTACCTGTAGTTTCACTCGTATAAGCCTCCATGGCTTCCGATACCATATCTCTAATGTTTCCTTGATCGTTACTGACTTTCGTGCTTGATTTCAACGAGTTTGCTGAGTAAAACGAGTCTGGTAGGTAGTTCTGGTCTGTTTCTAGATGTGTGATCCAATAGTTTACAGTTTCTGTACTCGATATTGCTTGATCTATGTACCTTTTCCTTGCAATGTTACCTGAAGTCTTTCCATGCGTGAATATAGTTGTACACAATGTAGTTGCACTATGTAGTTTGCCTGTATCTTGTGTGGTTGTATTTCTGCACTTGAATCTATTCTTATGCTTACTGTGCCTGATAGGAGTTACTGTACTGTGGCAATTTCTGCCTGTTCTGTTCTTGCTCTCTTTCTTACTTTCTGAATCATGATGTCCATCATGTAGAGTGTTCATACGAACTGGTTTGACGTTCATAGGTGGTGTATCTGAATTTATATTGCTTCTCACAATCCAAGTGTACATAAATCCTTGTTCTGCCAAAATGAGGTGACTATATGTGTGCTTCTGTACCTGTAGCACTTTCTTGACGTCTGTACCTTTACCAATAGTGCAAGGTAAGTCCTTCTCTACCTTTTCTGCCTTTAAGCTATGCATATTTCGTAGGAAACGAAGTGGTATTTCGTTGACAGCCTGGGGAGTCTTGACACAACTCTCAATTCTGGGGGTCATTGCCCAATGTTCCAATGCTCGAATAAATTCAATCTCTTCGAATTTGGCTCTCTGTACCATGGATTCAATCTCACTGTGATCTCTCAATGCTATCTGATCATTGTTCCTAGTGCCTAAAGCTCTGTGCTTGTTTGCTTTTGCTTTCTTCCTATGATTTAAGGAATTCTTGCCTGGATCTTTCTTTCTGGTCAAATTTCTGAGCCATTCTTCAGGTTTACTTTGCAATTCTGTTAGCAAATACTGATTTCCTGTAGTGAGCTTCTTGTCTAAGCTTGTTGCTGAATGTTTGGCATCATTTCCTTTGCTTTCCTGCAACGTTCTGTGTTTCTTTGGTACGTTCCAATGGGCTTCACCTTTGTTTGTTGTAGGAGTTTCCTTCTCCTTCTCCTGATACATTCTATCAAATCTATGTGTTTTCTTGTTCAAGTCGTTAATGTCTATCTTGCAATGGAAGGGACTAACTAGTTTACTAGTATATATTGATGTATCTAGTCTATTTGTACCTTTGAACATTCTCTTTGCCTGCTGGAATGAATCCTCTCAATGCAGGGTAATGTCACAATGCCTGAATCCTTGTTGGCAAACTGATTTCTCAGTGTTTGCCTCTATTAATTGATTGACTGAATCCTCGAAGCCAATCACCTGTTCTCTGTGAACTCAATTGCTAAAAAGCTTGATAGCAATCGCCTGAGTGCTGCTGCTAGCTAAATATATTTGTTCTCTGTGAACTCAACTGACTGAACCATCAATGTCAATCGCCTGTACTCGACTGCTCGAATCCTTGATGCTAGTCCTCTGAGTACCAATGCTAGCTATTCTTATGATGAGTGGACTTCCTATGATGTGCTTCTGTCTAACTATATGTGCTTTTGCAGTACTCATTACCTGTCTTTCTTGTATGCTAAGTAAAGTCGAAAGCCTTCTGCCTCTGATAGGTAAGGTCTTATATCTCATGATCAGGTCTTCAGGATGCCTCCAATCTTCTGTGATCAAGGTCTTACCTCCTGGTGATGTGAGGAGTTCTTTTGGACTAGGGCGCCATTCCAAAATCACTGTTAGATGCTCTCTGGCAACATACTTGCTCTTGTCAGTCAATACCAATGGATCCTTTTCGTCCTGGTATGCAAGCTTGCTTGTGTCTTTCTTGTCTCTTGTACGTACTAATTGTTCACTTGCATGATTGCTCGATTCCTCAACTGTGATCTGATGGTTCTTTCCTGAGACTTTGCTGGCAAAAAGCTTAATGCTGGTCTCATCCTGGGTGTGGTTTGCATGCATTTCACCCTTTGCACTACCTATATGTGTGCTCATTTGCTCAGTCTCTGTTCTATGTACTGCTATGCAAATGTAACTATGGTATTTCAGTAGTAATTGGTCTTCAGGTTGCATCCAGCCTCTAAGAGACAATGTCTTACGTCCTGGTAGATCATTAGCGTGCCACTGGCCTGTAATAGACATGGACTTATCACTGGATTGTGATTGGTTTTGCCTTAAGCCCATAAGGGACAAGGACTTGTGCTTTGGGACAATGGTAAGGACTTTGTTAGACGAATATGAGCTTACTGGAACAATGAGGTCACCTTTCAGCATCGAAATCACTGTCTTGAGGTAGGAAGTAGTGCCTAGGTAGTTTAAATGTCCAGCATTTGTGTTAGCACTACTCACTATGTTCTCTAAACCTGGATATGTGTGCTCAGTGTCTTCAACGTCGTCCTTGGGAAGGTCCTCGTGATGTCTAGGACATTGAACCGTATCAATAGGGGTTTTTGTTGCGATCAGGAAGCGTTTTGCTATGCTCCAGATCATTTTCGCTCACTGGGGGCCAACCAGTAAGTAGTCGCTGTCTCTCTCTACAAATCTCTTTCAAAACTCACTTGCTCTTCGCGCCAGGCAATGAGACAATGCCAAGGGTTGATCAGACCCTAGACAACACTCACGACCCAGCAGGATCGATGGGGATTGATTTATACAGTCAAAAAT